TTACCTTCTATGCTGTTACTATTTTTTAATTTTTTTTTACATAAGTAAAAAGTGACCTTTCCCCATCTGGCATGGTGGTGTGCCTCGAGATTTTTTTCATGAAACAAGTGTGCCTTTGCCCAAAAAAGGTTGGGAAACACTGGTCTACACCCTTCTAACCTCTAGGTTAGATCACTGCAATGCATTAAATGTAGGTCTGCCTTTGAAGACAGTTTGGCAACTGCAGTCAAACTGCTAACCAACAGAAGACGGTCTGAGCACATAACACCAATTCAGGCTTGACCGCACTAGTTTCCACTTAGTTTTCTGGGCTCAGTTCAAGTTTTGACCTACAAAGCCTTAAGTAGCTCAAGACCCAATACCGCAAGGACCGCCTCTTTCTGCATGAACCAACCCGGATCCCCATTAGTCACCAGATGGCCTTCTCTCCCATTTCCCCTCCAAGGGAGTATAGAGGGTGTCAACACAAGAACGGGCCTGCTCAGTAGTGGCCCACTGCTTATGGAATGTTCCCCCAGCGAGACACACTTGGCGCCATCATTACCTGTATCTGGACGCCAGGCAAGAACATTTCTTTTCCACCAGGCCTTTGACCTCTCCTTCAGTGAGCAGAATGTCTTAGTCCTGCCTCTTTATAAATGTGAATGCATTTTAGCTTTTACTCTGTTTTACCTTTATGTTGGTTTTAGTGTATGTTTGTAAGTCGCTTTGAATTAAGTTTAGTAAACAAAGTGGCAGGCAAGTTCAATAAATAATAATAAGGATTTTTTTAAAAAGGTGCCAGAACTCCATACTGAAGTGTAGCAACAGAAAAAACCCCACTGGCACTAATACACATACAATTTAAAGGAGGCAAACATTTAGCCAATCCATCCAATTGATTAATTAAAAGCATCCTGATTGACTAAATGTCTGCACCTTATTCACAGGGCAATGACTGTGAGATTTTAAAAAACAAACAAAACACCATCCCGTGTGATGATTTTAATGCAAGAACCTCCAAAATAGGTTCAAAACTGCCCAGGGATGGGTGAGGTGAGGAACAAAGAAGCGAGATGGGAAGGGTTGGAATGTGAGGAACTGGCTTTCATGTTGTTCTAAGTATGGGTACCTTACTTACCCATCAAAATGAGCCTTTGCTCTAGTTTTGCCTGCTAAACCTAACAGGTAGGCATCTCCCCATACCTTGATGGCCTTGGAATCTCTCCCCCTGGCCTTCGGAATGAGACATCCATCAGGGCGTTTTCACCTGCGGTGCATCTACAAACACTTATATCTGGACACGGAGCTGGGAGTTTAGCTGAGCCAGAAGCAGCCTAAGCCATGAAGCGCAGGGGAAGAGGGAGGGGCACTGTTGCTCTCTGAGAATCCAACAACGCAGAAACAACCATATTCCTGCCTGTTTTGCAGAGCCTTCCAATAAGTGGCACAGCACAAGCTCTGCATGCAAAAGGTCCTCGGTTCAATTCCCCAGCTGCGAAAGACTCCTGTCTGAAACCCTGGAGGGCTGCTCTGATGACAATACGGAGCCAGATGGAGCAATGGTCTGACTAGGAATAAGGCAGCTTCCTATGTTCCCCGAGGATACAATAAATCATCAGAGCTCTCTTGTACAAAAGGAAACAGGACCCTGTAGCTCTGACTGTGGAATTTCTCACAAATCATAAAGGCAATGCGTTTAGCTATTTATATAGTGCCGCCCCTGTACACTGGAGGGGGCCTGACTATCAACGGGCCTGTTCCTCATGGCGGTGGTCCTTCGAGGATCCAAGAGCTTTGGGTTGCCCTCAGCCAGCAGCAGTTCACGGGGAGGGGAGGTGGGTTGCAGTATAACGTGCAATTAAAACCGCCACTTCTTAATCACACCGGTGGGCCAATTGCTGCTCAGAACCCCCCAGGCTCTACACCACAAAGTTATCCCACAGAGTGTAAAAGGGAACTGTGCCTTTGACATCTCTCTCTCCTTCCCAAGGCCTCCACAGAAGGCCTTAAAAGGCAGGAGGGGTGTGTGTGTGTAGGAAAAGAGAAATAAACCACTATTGATTTGCCGAAGGCGAGGCAAAAGCAGAAAGACTGCATGTGTTTCTATGGAAACAGAATGTGTGCAGTTTGAAAAGAGTTGGGGGGGGGGAGAAAACCCTCTCATTTATGGGCACTGTAAATTATTTAAGCAGGACAGGGCTCTGTCCATTAAGGTCTAAGGGGAAAGATTTAAAGCTATTCATTATGCAGAGAGACACAACCTGCTTAATTCAGACCCACCAGCCTACTGCTTGGGAAGCAGAAGGCAAGTCATTTAGGTCTTACATTATTGGCTTATCATAATAATAATAAAATAATAATAATAATAATAATAATAATAATGATGCCCTGCTTGCAAAAATAACTGCAGAATTAAACAGTAAGCACACAATATGGAAAACCACATTAAAAAACCACACCAGCGTAATAATAATACGAGAGTGCACATGAATACTCATTTTCTATTGCCACGAGTAAAGCTGGGTCCTTCTGCACTTAATAAGGCAATAAGGTGAAAGAAAGTGCTGGGGGAGGAGCCAGAAATGGGGTGGAGGCTGAGGCAAAGAATCCAAAATGGCACCTTCCACATGGTGGCAAAGATTTAATAACCAAAGGGTGGTATCCAATTAAACCTACTCACCCACCAAAACGAGTAGACATGGCTAAGGCCCCATCTACACTGTACATTTAAAGATGTATCATACTAGGCCCGTGAGGGGTGTGGTTAGGGAAGGAGGCGTAAGGGCCAGATAGAGAATACTGGATGGTCGCATCTGGCCCTGAAATTCAGGTTGCCCATCCCTGACAACGTGAAGCTAGCATCACTCCTCTTTTGACAGACAGAAAATGTGCAGCTAATTTGTAAAGATAAGTGCTGGGGCTCACATCCATGTTGGATTCCCTCTCTCTCTCTCTCTCTCTCTCTCTCTCTCCCGAAAACCCCTCTCCCAAATAAAAACGTCAGATACATGGAGGGCAGCTTTGGTTTCGCAGGAACAATGGAAAGGAACTCCACACATTATTACATCACACATTCCAAGTCACAGCAACTCTTTTAACGCTACAATTGAACCCTGGCTCATATTTCATGACAATAGATAGGTTTGGGGCTTAGTTGGCATTGCCAAGAGTGAATCAGGTCTTCAAAAGAAGCCTATGGAACAAACAATCCTCCTACTGTCTTGCAAATAGAAATGGCTCATAGCGGGGGTGTTTTTAAAAGAAAAAGGGTTTATCCCATGCATCTGGGTTTGGTTTATTTCCTGGAGAGACAGCCAACATATAAAGCTATTACAGCAGTTATAGTCCCATTTTTGGGTAGCATGCAGCTCTTAAGAGAAAAGGCAAGGATCTATAGAAGAAGGCAGTTCTAAGAGGTTCCTTTTTCCTCCTTTCAACATTCCTCATTCAGCAGACCGTCCATGTTCCCCAGCAGAGCCGACTGGTCAAACTAAGCTGGTTTTATAGAGTCAAGCCCCATCTTCTAATAAGCTCCAAATTTCCCATCGTCCCTTCCCCCACCGCCACACTGATCATCAAGGCCGAGAGCACACAGCTTTAAAAATTGTCAAAGAGAAAGAAAACAAACAAAAGAAGAAGAGTGAATTTAAAGATCCCGTTTCTCTAGGCGTAGGAAATCTGACAACCTCCTATTGATCTTCTCTTGTTGACAAATGCACCCATGTTGAGATATTATAGGAAGCCAGGCTGTATCATAATTGCTGCTCCGTGGCAAACCTCCACGATCTCCAACTGTTGCTGCTTGACAGGTACAAGCGTCGGCTTTCTCACCCTGTGCAACAGCTGCTAGAGCCCAGCAAATGCTGGAGCATCCTGTCCAACTGCACCTATGTGGCAGGTTGCCCCACCAGCAATCTTGTTCTATTGGTGGACCAATTCATCCTTGCTGGAAGGAGAAATCACTGAGAGACGGGTATCCAAAACACCAGGCAAAGATGCAGCCATTTAACGTGACTAGGACTAGGTTAAGTCAGGATGCTTTCTCAGTGTGTTTTTTTCTCTCGGGGGGGGGGGCACAGGGGTACGTATACCCCTAAACATTTTGTGAATCTTTGTACTTTTGTCCATTTACTGTATTTATTTCCCCCGATTTGAACTATAAAATGGTAATTTTCTTGAGACAAAATGGGAGTACCCCTAAACGTATTTTCAAGGGGGGGAAACCATTGTGCTTTCTTATAGGGGTTCCCCTAACCCAGGAACAGGCAAACTGGGCCCTTCAGATGCTTTGGGACTACAATTCCCATCATCCCTGACCACTGGTCCTGTTAGCTAGGGATGATGGGAGTTGTAGTCCCAAAACATCTGGAGGGCCGAGTTTGCCTATGCCTGTCCTAACCACTCTGGTTGCTGTTGTTTTTATTTTGATTATGTATTTTGTGGTTTTATATTCTAATTTTATCCTTGGAACTGCCCTGAGACCTGTAGGTATAGAGCAGTATATAAATGCAATAACTACTACTACTATAATAATAATAATAATAATAACAATAATAAAGTAGCCCAGAGTTGCTGGGGAAACCCAGTCGGATGGGCAGGGTACAGATAAATAATAATAATTTATTATTATCATTATCATTATCATCATTTACTATTACAGTTTCCAGGATTCTTTGGTGGAAGCCCTGACTGTCTAAAGCGGTACGATCCTGCTTTAGATCTGTGGTGCAGATGTGGTCCTAGAATCCTGGTGGCAGATCACACCACAAGTGAGAGGTAGCCAGAAATCCCCTTTTCCTCTCCCAACAAGTAAATCATAAGCCTGCAGATTGGGGCACTGTGGATTTTTCATTAATTTCCTACGTAAAGCACCAAGTCCTTGGAATTTTAAAGAAAACATTAGCGAGTGACGATGACACTAGGGGCCCCTCAGGCCCACGCTGATTTGTTGGCATAACCAGATCATCGTTTGGGGGAGGGGAAAGAATAGGGATTATAAATATTGATGAGGCAATTACCTTCAATTAGCACTGGCTGGCTGGCACCCCTTAGGAATCTACTTGGAACGATGCCCGCTTCCTGCTTGTTGACTGCTTTGCGCTCAAGCTGGAGTGTGAAGGCCCATTCTTCAGACACAGCGGCACTGAAACAGAGAATATCCTTTTTAAAAAGTGGAGGTTCCAAGGATTGGGGACCTGGGACATTCGGCATGTGTTCTGCCGCTGAAGCTACGGCCTGTCCTGATGTGTGCTGGAAGCACTGTGCAAATAAGTTAACAGCAGTAACAATATGATTGCACACGCATCTAAACATGGAACATTTCCAGATATGGATTGTGCAGCTTCCTTTTGAGCAATGAAACAAGGCAATGCTTCACATGAGGAGCTTTAGATTTCTGGGTCTTTTCTCAAGATACCGCACAACCCTCTGACATACAATGGGACAAAAATGGGCTTAACATCAAGCAATAAATGCACCCATAAAATGAGCAAACCCATTGCCAGGTGCTGGGGCGAGGGATCGTTAAACGCCGACCAGAAAAACACAAAAGGGCTTCCTATTTCCGCACATTAAAGCTATTTCTGCACAAGAAGACGTCACAAACGGTGTTGGTTTCTCATCGCCCCTCAGTTATTCACCACCTCCTCAAATATTAATGTTTGCAGACTGTCAGCGTTCGATACGTGCCAGGAAAACCGGTTCCCCAGAGTTGGAAACTAACGCTCTGTCCCTATCCTTGGTCTGCTTGTGGTAACTGGGACTAGGCCTCAGTCCTTGTGATGCAAAGGGGCCGCCTCATGGAGCAAAAAATATTTGTGGGGCCTGCCTGGTGTTTTTACATTAGTAGAATGTGTCCTTTTATTTAAAATGCATCTCTGAATTATTTGCGGGGCATAGAAATTCGCTCATTTCCCCCCCTCCAAAAAAAAAATAGTCCGGCCCCCCACAAGGTCTGAGGAACAGTGGACCGGCCCCCTGCTGAAAAAGTTTGCTGACCCCTGGTGAAGAGCGTCCTCTGAGGCCAGGGCTTTATAGGGGCTGGTGTCCTGGGATTGGCCCTCAAGAGTCAGCTGACAGAGTGTCCAGGCAGGCTGGTACTGAAGCCTAGATGGTGCCCTCGGTGCCCAAATACAGTGGTACCTTGGTTTACAACCATAATCTGTTCCGGAGGTCCGTTTGTAAACCAAAGCAAGTTGTAACCCAAGGTGCGCTTTCGCCAATGGGGCCTCCAAAAAAAATTTGTTCGTAATCCAAAAAAAATGGGTTGTAATCCAAAAAAAATGGGTTGTAATCCAAAAAAAAGGTTACAAACCGGGACACACACTTCCAGGTTTGACGTGTTTGTAATCCAAAACGTATGCAAACCAAGACGTATGCAAACCAAGGTACCACTCTAATGGAAATGAGGCTGCTAAGGTAGCTGAGCATTGACCACCAGGTCACCCCTGGTTCAGAGGACCACCCTCAGCACCATAGAAAGACATGTTTTGCACGACTGTAGCTGAGGTCCATAGAGCACAAATTTAAACAACCTGGTGGAGGTGGAGGACTGGGAAGCAATATGAATATCAGTTGCTGGGAATTACAGGCAAGGAAAGTGCTATTGCGCTCAAATGATGCTTGTGGGCTTCCCATTGGGGAATATATTCGGTGACTGTGAGAATAGGACGGTGGACTAGATGAGGCATTGGCTTGATCTTATGTTCTTATAGCTCCCACTGGAAGAATGGGCCAATAATTTGAAGTACTGGGGAGGATTTTCGTCCTCTGGTTGTCAGCAACTACTGAACCGCCCCCGCCCTCCCCGCCCCACAACACACATTTTTTCCCCTTCTTAATTTTGTGCATGAAAGATGCAGCCAACCTAGACTCGGAGCCTGCAGCCCTGTATCCAGCCCGTCAAGAGTAATCTCTGTTCTCCATTTTTACTGGATAAATATCTTAATCTAAAACCAGCTTGGCTAAAGAAAACAGCTTATCATATGAGGAACATTTAAGAAAAATCTTCAAGGGGCAAGGAAGAGACATTTGTGCCTTTTCTTGGTGCATTAATGTCACACACACACACACACAGATACTAAATGACTTCATCTCTGACCTTACATTGTATATATGTTTTAGAAATACACAGGAAAGCAAGCCCAGATTATCCCGATGCACCAAAAAGCAATTAACGCACATACACAAAATCAATTGCGGGTTAAGAATAAATGGATGGAATCTATTTCGAATTCCTGCCAACTATCAACTTTCTTGCTTTAAAGTCAGTCCTCCTGGTTATGAGGACTGAATGATGTTTTGGCTTCTTGTAGCAACGGCACAAGAAAGCTATGGTTTCCCCAGTGTTGCTAACCAACAACTCCCTTCATGCTTGCCCACTGCCCATGCTTGCAGGGGCTGATGGGAGTTATAGTTCAGCAACATCTGGCAGGCCAAAGGTTCGTCACAGCTGCCCTACAGCAGGGCTGCCATACACCTGGGTTTCCCCAGACATATCCAGGATTCGTTCGTCGGAAAAAGCATCTGAGCGGAATTCCCGATATCGCTAAAACTGTCCGGGAAAACCTGGATGTATGGCAACCCATGCTGAAAGTTTTGGTTTTTTTGTCCAGTTTCCTAAAAAACAAAAAACTTTTGTGTCTGGATTTCCCCTTTTTAAAATATGGCAACCCTATCCCTACAGCTAAGTGAAAAGAAAGATGTTTTGCCTCTAGGAACCTTGTACTGACCCATGAGTCAGACCTTTGGGTCCATAAATCTCAGTACTGCCTACACGGACTGGCAGCAGCTCCTGGGGATTTCAGATGGGGGTTCTTTCTTAGTCTTACCTGGAGATAAAGGGCATTGAACCTGGGACCTTCTGCATGCAAGGTGGAAGCTCTTCCACTGAGCTACAGCCCCTTCGTGCTCCCGTTCTTCCATCATGCATTGACACACACACTCCCAAAAAATAAAACAACAGGATTCCGCAATATTGCAAGTCTGTGGCTTGGAAGAAAATGCAAATGGTGTGCCCTACCAAGTAGGACCTGGGAGAGCAGGGTTCGAATCCCCACTCTGCCATGAAGCTGGTGGTATGTAAAGGTAAAGGTAAAGGGACTCCTGACCGTTAGGTCCAGTCGCGGACGACTCTGGGGTTGCAGCGCTCATCTCGCTTTATTGGCAGAGGGAGCCGGCGTACAGCTTCCGGGTCATGTGACCAGCATGACTAGCCAGAGCAGCGCACGAAAATGCTCTTTACCTTCCTGCCGGAGCGGTACCTATTTATCTACTTGCACTTTGACATGCTTTCGAACTGCTAGGTGGGCAGGAGCAGGGACCGAGCAACGGGAGCTCACCCTGTCGCGGGGATTCGAACCGCCTACCTTCTAATCGGCAAGTCCTAGGCTCTGTGGTTTAACCCACAGCGCCACCCGCGTCCCTATGGTGATATGTAAGTGAAATAAATAAATAAATAAATAAAATGCAGAATAAGAGTTTTCCAGAATTACAGGTTTTAAGAATATGGTTGGGAATAGGATTCTACCGTACATCCTATGGCAACAATCACGGCCTATCATCTAGCAGGAGCTATCTTTTTCACAACCGTTTGCCTCACAGAAGAGGACATGCAAATATTTAAAGGTGGTCTTCTAAATAAGCCGTTGAGGTTTTGCGAAAGGGAGCATACAGGCTTTTCTACAGAACCACACCTGATAATGAGTTCTGTGTAACACCAACGCCTACATCCTGCTCCCTCCGCTGAACAAATAAATAAATAAAGTCAATAAAAGGAGATCATCTTACCTAGAGTGCATTGCATGTGCCCATAAAGGCGAGTGGGAATCCCTGCATTTCTCAGATGGAGGAGGCTAGGTCATTGACTAAGCCATATGCAAATGAGGCAGAGGGGATTAAAAAGGGAATCATACCAGCTGTCTGCAAAAGAACCATTAATTAAAGGGGCAGCGCTGATACATGCTTGAATTAAAGCTCTGAAGACAACAGAAGGGATATATTCCAGGTCGTGGAGGCAGGTCCATTGCAGAAAATGGGGCACTGCTCCACCAACCTCATTTTGCCCTCAACCCCCAACACCTGCCTGCCTCTGTACTTGCAAGCAGTCCAGGTGCTGCCACTGCCTGTCAGCGTCCTCCTCCTAAGTTTCCATCTTACCCATGTATAACTTAGCAGGGAGGAGGTGAGGAGAGAAAATTCACTGGCTCTGCCTGCCATTAGCGCTGTCTCCACCTACTGCTTGGGCTCCCTGCCTTCTGACCCACCAGTCCCAAGGGGCACTAGGAATGCGGGGGCGGGGGGGAGAGAGAGATTAAATTCAGTTTGCATTTAAAGGCAAACGTACCTAATTCATGCTTTCCGAAACACTATGCAAACCGAAACACAGGCATCTTCCAAATTCGCACTTCTCTGAACGTGGCAATGCAGTTTTCCAGCCAAGTAATGTGTGCAAAAATGCATGTACAGTAGTACCTCGGGTTAAGTACTTAATTCGTTCCGGAGGTCCGTTCTTAACCTGAAACTGTTCTTAACCTGAAGCACCACTTTAGCTAATGAGGCCTCCTGCTGCCGCTGCGCCGCCGGAGCACGATTCTTGTTCTCATCCTGAAGCAAAGTTCTTAACCTGAAGCGCTATTTCTGGGTTAGCGGGGTCTGTAACCTGAAGCGTATGTAACCTGAAGCGTATGTAACCCAATGCACCACTGTGCTAAGTGTATATAAAAATACGTAGTTTGTGGAAACAATGAGCCAAAAAAATATTGTAACGTGGGGAACTGCTTTGCAAAAAATAAAACTAGGCAAAACTGCAGGTAAATGTGTGCATTAGGTGAAATTCACACTAAAATGCTGATTATTTTTTTTAAAAGGCCTTCTGAAAACTAATCACGAATTATGTGGAAATGTGGAGAACTGAATGTAAGAGTGGAAAAAATATGAGTATCTGAGAGAAACCAAAACTGACAGATCAGCCCATTCCCAGCGTTCAGAATAACATTCGTCATAAAATACTACCTACTATGTAGCACAGTGGTGGCCAAACTTGGCCCTCCAGCTGTTTTTGGACTACAACTCCCATCATCCCTAGCTTCTCCCTCCAAGGGGTGGTGGTGATTGGACTGGACACTTTTGGAATACACCCAACTG